GTATAACACAGACTTCACTCTTTTTCAAAGTGCTTGTTTGGAGGAAGTTAAAAGGATTACATTGGACATCCTTGAGGGAAGAAACTGTGACTTGTTCATCTCCAGGCCCTAGACAATCAGCCAATATTTTGTTCTCTTTATCAAAAGATAGGTCTGCCAGCCCTGGCCAGTTTGGTTCAGCGGTTAGAGCGTCGGCCTGCAGTCCTGAGAGACCCGGGTTCAGTTCCCGCTAAGGGCGTGTACCTCGGTTGCAGTTTGTCCCCGGTCCTGGTCGGTCGTGCGGGTGGCAGCCACTCGATGTGTTCCTTTCACGTTGATGTTTCTCTCTCTCTCTCTCTCTTCCTCTCTCTCCCTCCCACTCTACCTGAACAAAAAAAAATGGAAAAATGTCCTCGGGTGAGGACAAAAAAAAAAAAATTAAAAAAAAAAAAAAAAAAAAGATAGGTCTGCCATATGAGTAAAGAGAGTTCCCTTGTGGGATCGTTGATAGCTTGGGGGTGTCCTTTATATCTGATGTAGTCTGAATGATATTTCAGTGTAGTCTTGTATTTTTACCTTGTATATTACCTTGTCATGGCATTGAGCAAGCAGATGAAGCACTGCAGTAGTCTACTGAAAGGTTCCACTAAATGTGTGTTCTAGGGCATTGGCTCCTGGGGTATGAGCTTATTAGTACATCCCATGGAAAGGTGAGATGTTCTCCTCAGTCTAAAATGCTATCCTGCAAAGCCAAATTCTCTTTGTATTTCTAGTCTTTAAACTTGTCTAAATAGGATCATTTATCTATTTTTGTTTTGTTGGAAAATAAACTATGTTCATTTAAATTAGGAAGAAAACATACCATTTTTAAGTTCCACAGTATTGTCCTATTTGGAACTTGTCACTTGGAACTGGTTTGAGTAAAAAGAGCTCTGGCTTCTTTTTTCCAGAAATTTACCCTCACTTTCTTCTTCCTTTTAGCTCTCTAAGGAATCCCTCCAGTCCGTGGATGTCCTCCGAGAGGAAGCTTGTCAGATCTTGGATGAAATGAGCCACAAGCTGCGTCTGGGAGCCATCCGGTTTTTTGCTTTTGCCCTGAGTAAAATATTTAAACAAATTTACTCAAAAGTGTGTGTAAATGAAGAAGGTATTCAGAAAGTGAGTATTGCTTGTTAAACAGTCTTTTCTTCACCCCTCACTGTTCGGTCAACTCCCAGTCTTCTCACCCCTCACTAAATGGGCAGGCCTCGTCATCGGGCTCCTGTCCCGCAGAAGAGGCTCTGCCGTTCTGGAGGGTGGTGTTTTCTCTGTTGACCTTCAAACCTACAGACTTCAGGCTAACTTAGGTAAGACTTACAGATGAAGCTTATGTCCGATGTTCACTAAGTGATAGAAGTAATACAAATAATTTCTGCATATGCTTCACCTAGATTCCCCTGCATTTCCTTTATCCTTTCCTCAGTACTCTGGTGTGTCTTTCCTATGAACAAGGACATTCTTTCATGGTGCAGTTATCAAAATAAACAAATTAACATTGCTGTATTACTAATGACACAACCTTACTCGTATTTCACCAGTGGTCCTAGCGAAAGGAAATCCTGCAGCATGTGTTGTTACCTTTAGCTGCCATGTCACTGCAGACTTCTAATCTGGAACAGTTCCTCAGTCTTTGTGTTTCATGATATTTTTGAAGAGAACAGACCAGTTATTCTATAGTGTCTGCTGATTTGGCAGAGTGATGTTTTCTCAGCTCTGGGCTCAGTTGTGTACTTTGGCAGGCACACCTCAGAAGCAGTGCTGCATCCTTCTCAGTGCATCAGGTCAGGGTACATGGTGTCTGCTGGTCCCGTTAGGGTGATGCTCACTTGTGCTAGTTGGTTAAGGTAGTATCCGGTATTCTTCACGTTTCTCCACTGTAAAGTACTGTTTTTCCCTTTGCAACTAGTGAGTATCTTAAGGAGAGATACTTTGAGAATTGTTAAGTGTTCTGTTTTTGATCATAATTTCCTCCACTATTTTTTACATCCACTGATGATTTTTGCCCAAATCAGTCATTACTATAATGATTGCCAAATGGTGATTTTTCTAATTCTATCACTCTGTTATTTAATAGTTTGATTTTTCCTATAAAGATTATTTTTACTCAACTTCTTCTTCCTATCACTATCTTTAGATTGCTTACTTAATCTCTGAATCTCTGCCAAAGAATGTCTGGCACAGTGTTTGGAACCAGGGCATGTTGACTGGCCATGTCTTAACTGAGCACAAATTACCTTGCCTGAGTTAGTCATACTTAGATTTCAGAAAAACAGATAACACATTCACACCGTGAACACTCTTGAGGCTGACAGCCCCAGGAATACATTGGAAGCTGAAATGCATGCCTCCCAGCTACGTGCACCCATTGTCCCCAGCAATATTGTCCCTCTCATTTGTCCTAAAAATTCATAGATTTTGTTTTTAATCTGCCCCAGAAACATTTGTTCTCTCTTACTATGGACAGCCAGTCTGCAGCAGTTCACAGCTGACTTTTTAATTCAGGCTGACTTCAGTCTGTTCCCAGCTCTGCCATTTGTTAGATGCGTGACCCTGTCACAAACCAGGAAGCTACGGCTATTCACAAATATGTGGTATTAAACAATATTTGTAAAATGCTTACTACATAAAACGTTTAATATGGTACCCAGCTAATATACATTAGTGGTCATCACTGTTACTATGATCCATAAAAATTTGGATTTTTAGTATTCTTGCATTACGTGAGGTTATTTATCTAGAACTCTAAAATAAGATTATGTGAGTAGTATAGGAGGCAGAAAAACAGTATTAATTCCCTCTATACATATACACATTCTTCTGTGTTCTGATTTGAGATATGGTTTTAATAATATGGAAACTAAAATTATAAAAAACATTGCATTTATTTATTTTAAAGCTACAACGAGCCATCCAGGAGCATCCAGTGATTCTGCTGCCTAGTCATCGAAGTTACATCGACTTTCTGATGTTGTCTTTCCTTTTATACAACTATGATTTACCTGTACCAGTCATAGCAGCAGGAATGGGTATGTATTGTTTTTCTGCTTTTTCTTATTGTAAAAATTAAAATGTACCCTGGAATGAGTTTGACAAGACTGAGCTATTTGAGGAAGATGGTGAGGAGAGCCGCTCCCTTCCTCGCTCAGTCGCAGGTGTGGTCGGCTGTGTCCTTCTGTACGGTGCCAGCACGGACCCGCGAGACCTGTGCGCCTCGGGCTCTGCTTTCGGTGGAGAAACGAGATCATGTGACCTTTCTGTATTACCTGCCTTTTGCTTTTTTAAATTTAATAATATATCAAATTAATAAATTTAATAATTAGATAGATCTGACTTCTGTAATGTTTTTTAATTGTGGTGAAATACACAAAAATAACATTTACCGTCTGAACCACTTTTAAGCATACAGTTCAGTGGCATCAGGTGCATTCACATGATTGTACTACCATCACCACCATTCATCTTGCGAAACTGAAACTGACTCCATTAAACTATAACTCCCCGTTGTACTCTCCCCAAGCCCCTGGCAACCACCATTCTACTTTCTGTCTCTGTGAATTTCACTCCTCTACATACGGCATGTTAGTGGAATCATGCAGTATTTGACCGTTTGTGACTGGCTTATTTCACTCAGCATAATGTTTTCAAGGTTAATCCATGTTTTATAGCGTGTGTCAGAATTCCCTTCCTTTTTAAGGCTGTATAATATCCCATTGTGTGCATATACCACATTTTGTTATCTATTCATTCATTGGTGGCCACTTCCACTTTTTGGCTATTTTGAATAATGCTGCTATGGACATAGATGTACAAATATCTGTTTGAGTCTTTGCTTTCAGTTGTTCCAGTGTATTCTCAAAAGTAGAATTGCTGGGTTCTGTGATAATTTTTTTTTTTTTTTTTTTTATCCTCACCCGAGGACACTTCTCCATTCCCTGTTCAGATAGAGCAGGAGGAAGAGAGAGAGAGAGAAACATCGACGCGAAAGGGACACATCGAGTGGCTGCCACCCGCACGACCAACCAGGGCCGGGGAGAAACTGCAACCGAGGTACATGCCCCCAGCAGGAACCGAACCCGGGTCTCTCCGGACCGCAGGCCGACGCTTTAACCGCTGAGCCAAACCGGCCAGGGCGATAATTTTATTTTTTATTTTTTGAGAACCTCCATATTATTTTCTATAGTGGCCACACCATTTTACATTCCTACTAACAGTGCAGAAGGATTTCAGTTTCTCCACAGCCTCGCAAATGCTTGTTATTTTTTGGTTTCTCTCTCTCTCTCTTACACACACACACACACACACACGATAGCCATCCTAATTGGTGTGCAGTGGTATCTCATTATTATCTTATTATGAGGAATATCTATTCAAGTACTTTGCCCATTTTTAAATTCAGTTGTTTGTTTTTTGTTGTTGAGTTCTAGGAGTTCTTTATATATTCTGGATATTAACCTCCTGTCAGATATATGATTTGCAGATAGTTTCTCCCATTCTGTGGGTCAACTTTTCACTCTATTGATTGTGTCCTTTGGTGCACAGAAGTTTTTAATTCTGATATAGCCCGATTTACCTGTTTTTCCCATTTGTTTGCTGTGCTTTTGGTGTCACATCCAAGATAACTGTGACATCAAATGTCATGGAGCTTTCCCGTGTTTATTATAGGTCTAGTCTTACATTTAGGTCTTTGGGCCATTTTGAGTTCATTTTTGTATATAGTGTAAGATAAGAGTCCATCTATGTGTCTGAAATTTTTAGTAGCTAAATAATATTCAGTTGTGTAGATGTAATTTAGATTTGCGGTTATAGATAATTTTACAAGATATTTTATGTCCTGTAGGATTGATTCCCAAAAGTAGGATTGCTAAGGCAACTAAATTATTTATTTATCATCTTTTAAGGTAGCCAGGGAAGCTGGGATTTAAACATATACCTTTGTTAATCAGTACAGTAAACAGTGAGGTAAAAAAAAAACTGCGGGAAGGATCCCGTTGTAGTTCATAAGGGTGATGATTGGACCTTCATACATTTGTATGAGATGTGCCTCCCACTAAACCTTGTTACAACTTTGGCACATTACGCATCTGACTTAAAAAAAATAAAATAAAATTGCTGGAACTTATGTACTTTAACAGCATTTCACTGTATAGACATATGAGGAAGTGATTTGAAAATGAGGGAGAATGTAAAGAAGGAGTACTGTGTAAGTGATGCTGGAACTCCTCCTCTTAACTCTGGGTTTGCTTTATGAAATTCGTGCCACTCAAAGAAGCTGGGTCTTTTTACCTGACGGGTAGAGAGGGAAGGTGAGAGCTTGTCTGGCCTGGCTGTCCAGAGCATGGTGGACACATGTTGGTCTGTCAAGTTCAACAGCAGTGCTGACTAAAGACGTCAGCCTGATGACATTGTTACGGTTGTCACATTGCCTGCTGTCCCCTCTGTCTAGCTGGTCTGGTTGTAAATGCAGAGGTGCACGGAGGGCACAAAGTACTCTCCCAACGAGCACCTGCCCACGGAGTCCCTTCTTTTCCTTAATTCTATTGACGTCTCTTCTTGGAGATTTTGATCTCAGAAAGTATAGTCATTAATATCACAGGGCTGTCTTACATACATGAAATCCTTCTTAACAGAGTTTAGATCTTTACAGAAAGTTTCAGGCTCTGCAAGTCAGTGTTAAGCCTTCTTTGTGTGTTAGACTTCCTAGGAATGAAAATGATTGGGGAGCTGCTGCGGATGTCGGGTGCCTTCTTCATGCGGCGCACCTTCGGTGGCAATAGACTCTATTGGGCTGTGTTCTCCGAATATGTCAAAACCATGTTACGGGTAAATACAAATAAATACCAAGCTCTTTCAATCTATATTTTCTTTTCACTGAAATTTGCTGTAAGATCTTATTTAAATTCTTAACATCTGAATGGACCACTTAGCTATATTTCTCCCTGGAAGCAATGAGCAGAACTCAGCAGTCTGTTTACTCCGTGTGACTCTCTTGTTGGAGTCTCACTGTAAGCAGTGTTTGTTCAGAGGGCTGGGGCGGGAGCTGGGGGAAGGAATCAAAAGAAACATTTATTCTTTGAGCGCAGGCAACGGGTTTTGTGTTTTGTTTTGTTTGTTTGTGTTTTCTCTTTAAAGAATGGTTATGCTCCTGTTGAATTTTTCCTCGAAGGGACAAGAAGCCGCTCTGCCAAGACATTGACTCCTAAATTTGGTAGGTCACTTACAGACTGGAGGAAAACTGCAGACCCAAAGGCTTTACGTGTGACGTCGTAACAGCTGCTAAATAGTACTTTACACTTTTTTTTGCAAGATACTGTTTTTTTCATAAGTGTAACTGTTTAAGCTTAACTTTTTATAGTTATGGGCTTAGTATATCATGTATATTTTTAGTATCTTCCTGTTTATGTGCCCTTGTTTTTAAACTCCTTGATATTTGTGAAAAGCCATTCTCCCTTTGTTTACAGGTCTTCTGAATATTGTGATGGAACCATATTTCAAAAGAGAAGTTTTTGACACCTACCTTGTTCCAATTAGCATCAGTTATGATAAGATATTGGAAGAAACTCTTTATGTGTATGAGCTTCTAGGGGTTCCGAAGCCAAAGGAATCTACAACTGTACGTAAAGGGTGATTGGACCTAATTTCATTGGAATTTAGTGGAAATGATTGTTTACAAATCAACTGATTTCCTAATTTACTTCCTTCTGTTTTCTTTTCCCCTGTGTTGATACTGTTAGGGATTGCTGAAAGCCAGGAGGATTCTCTCTGAAAATTTTGGCAGCATCCACGTATACTTTGGAGACCCTGTGTCCCTTCGGTCTCTGGCGGCTGGGAGGATGAGCCGAAGCCCATATAACTTGGTACCAAGGTGCAAGGCTATTGTTCTCATAACTGATGTAGAATCAGTGAACATCTGGAAATAGGGATTGTGGTTCTTGACCATTTCTAGGACTGAAACTTGGTTATTTGAGATCACACATCAGGGAAGTGGAAAGCCTCAATTAAAAAAGAATTATGTGTTTGCCAAAAGCAATCAGCTGCAGGATGTATCTGTCAAACATGCAAAGTCAAACAGTTCATTCTTCTCAGAGGAGCCAGTCCCTGACCAGCTTAAAGTGGGAAGAGTCCTGGTCGGTGTGCTCAGTGGTTAGAGCATTGGCCCTGCACTGAAGGGCTGTGGGTTTGACTCCTTGTCAAGGGCACATACCTGAGTTGCAGGTTCAATCTCTGGCCCTGGTTGGGGTCATGCGGGAGGCAACTATACTATGTGTCTCCCTCACATCAATGTTTCTCTCTCTCTCCTCCTCCCTCCCTTCCACTCTCTCTAAAAATCAATGGAAAAAAATATCCTTAGTGAGGATTAGCCAAAAAAAGTGGGAAGAAATACAGCATTGTTAATAAGTGAATGTATGGAAATGGTAGGCCAGCCAGGGTATGTACTAAGTATTATTTTGGATCCCAGAAAGGATCGTATAATAATAATGAATGGGAATGAGTTTCTCTTCTCAAGAAGAGTATAGTTTTATGGGCAAGGAAATGAATTAGGTTCTTTTAAGATGTAGGTATGGTACACATTTAGGTTTGTGGTTTTTTTTAATATGTTTTTATTTTTTATTTTTTTAGGGAAAGGGAGAAAGAGATAGAAACATTGATGACAGAGAAACATGATCAACTGCCTCCCACACGCCCCTCACTGGGGATCATGCCCACAGCCCAAGCATGTGCCCTGACTGGGAATCGAACTGGTGACCTCATGGTACATGGGTTCATGCTCAACTACTGAGCCACACTAGCCAGGCTAGGTTTTCTTAATTTAGAGAAATACACCGGAGGAAGCAAGGGAGACAGAAATCATCTGCCTGGCCCGGTAGGACGTGACTACAGCATCATTCATGATTTATCTGTATCACCAAACATCCCACAGCAGCTAGGGTGCTTTGCTGGTAGCTTCGTTAGCTTCAGAGCAGATGTCAGCTTTTGTTGTCACAGGCTTTGTCTCTATAGATCTCAAAGTGGGTTGTTACCTAGTACAGAGCACCCTCATTGGCTACAGTTTTCACATTAAGCCACCTTATTACATGGCTTGCTTTTAGGTCAGATGTGTATTCCTGCTTCAGCTATCTCTGGAGGCTCCCTGTGTTGTCTGATTCACCTTGGTGATCCATGCTTGAGGAGTCTGTCAGGAAAGGATCGTGGCAGTACTTGGCAGGTGCCCTGAAGCTTCTCAGGAGGACAGTGGCAGTCAGGCAAACAGGACAGCCTGTGTAGACATGAACAGTTGTTTTAGCACTTGATATGTGTGTTCTCCAAGAGAGATGCTCTAAGTCCTGTGGGTTTAGAAAGAACAGAGTAGTTCACTCTACTTGGGAGGCATCAGTTTTCACAGAAGTGATCTAGCCTATTTGTAAAGCAACACAAGTTTTTGTTGCCTGGAACCAGAAACAATAGGACCCTATTCCCATGAGTATTTTTATCACCTGTCAAGAGCCTACCTAGAGACATCTGGACAAAGTAAAGCAAAGGTAGGTTCCTGCAAGGTGACCTGGCAGACTCTGTTGGCAAAAGTCTGAGAAGCCTTCCAGGTGGCCTGTGTTCCATCCCCTCCCTTGGTACTTGTCTCAGTAGCAGAACTGTGACTTGCTCTGTGCTCTGCTTTTAGATATATTCCTCAGAAACAGTCGGAGGACATGCACGCCTTCGTCACTGAGGTTGCCTACAGAATGCAGCTTCTCCAGATTCAGAACCTGGTACTGAGCCCGTGGGTCCTTGTCGTTGCTGTCCTGCTCCAGCACCAGCCTTCCATGGACTTTGACGCTCTGGTGGAAAAGACTTTGTGGTTGAAAGGCTTAACCCAGATCTTCGGGGGCTTTCTCACTTGGTCCGGTATGTATGTGGACCATACATGATGAGAATGTGACTTTATTTTTTTTAATCCTCACCCAAGGGTATTTTTCTGTTTAACTTCAGATAGAATGGGAGGGAGGGAGAGAGAAACATTAACGTGAGAGGGACACCTCAACTGGTTGCCTCCCACACAACCCGACCAGGGCTGGGGACGAACCGTAACTGAGGTATGTGCCCTTGACCAGAATCACACCCGCGACTCATTGGTCTGCGGGGTCTGCGGGCCAAAGCTCCAACTGCTGAGCCAAACCGGCCAGGGCAGAATGGTACCTTTTTTTAATTTCTTCATTTGGAAGGAAAAGTTGTAGTCTAGACATGGAAAACCTACATAGGACTTTGAGCAAAGTATTGCTCAGAGAGGGAAAGAAATGTCACTATAGGACATTGGTTATTCGAGAAATAGTGTTTATTTACGTGTTATTTCTCCCTGTGAGACTATCTTGAGGACTAGAATACGATTTTCTTGGCACCTAGCGGAGTGGAGAATAAATAGTGAGTCCTTTTTGCTCCACATAGCAGGTCTTTTTAAACCACATTATATTTGCAACCCATTTGCCTCACTGGATTGTATGTATTAATAACAATTCTGAAAAACTTGATTGGAGTTATATGAGTACTATGATGGGAGTTGGGGTATATATGACAATAATTAGCTTAAGTTGTTTTCAATCTCTTTGATTTAAAATTACAGAGACTGCAGTTGAAAATGCGGTTCTTTTAAGACCAGCTAATTATTTGCAGTCAGGCACCTGCTGTTCACTCATGAAACCGTGTTGGGCACCTACTTGTTGCTGGTACTGCCAGGGATGCAGACATGAGCAAGATGCAGTCTTGTTCTGGAGGCTCTGGTTTGTAGAGTGCAGGGGTGGGCGCTGTGCAGACTAGTAAAGACTGCCCGGGAGATAAGACAGAGCTGCAGACAGACCGCAGAGGTGAGCGAACACTGCGGAGGCAGGGCCCGCGCTCAGGGCCCGCGCTCAGGGCCCGCGCTCAGGGCCTGCACTCAGGCTGCAGAGAAGTGATTTTGGAATCAGTCCTGGTGAAAAACGGGCTCTTCAGGGAAACAGCGGGAGAGGAGCGCAGCTAGCATAGGGTTAGGACATCAGAATGGCCCGACAGCCATGGTCCCTCGACGTGCGGGAGGTTGGTAAGGTTGGGGTGCTGGCTCGGGTGCAGGGCGTTGGAGAAG